GGTCTCCCAAAATGCTGGGATTACAGGCATAAGCCACCACACCTGGCCACAAGGCATTTTTGGCTTACATTTTTAACTTATAATGGGTTTATCAGGGCCGGGCACAGTGGCTCACACCTGTAATCTCAGCATTTTGGGAGGCCAAGGCAGGTAGATCACTTGAGGCCAGGAGTTCAAGACCAGCCTGGCCAACATTGCAAAATCCTGTCTCTACTAAAAATAAAGAAATTAGCCAGGAATGTTGGTGACAATTGTAGTTCCAGCTACTCAGGAGACTGAGACATGAGAATCACTTGAACCCAAGAGGTGGAGGTTGCTGTGAGCCAAGATTGCACCAGTGCACTCCTGCCTGGACAACAGAGTGAGACTCTGTCTCCAAAAAACTAAAAACAAGCCAGGCACGTGCCTCATGCCTGTAATCCTAGCACTTTGAGAGGCTCAGGCAGCAGATCACCTGAGGTCAGGAGTTCAAGACCAGCCTGGCAAACATGAACAAAATCCATCTCCACTAAAAATACAAAAATTAGCTGGGTTTGGTGGTGGGTGCCTGTAGTCCTAGCTACTTAGGAGGTTGAGGCAAGAGAGGCAGAGTTTGCAGTGAACTGAGATGATGCCACTGCAGTCCAGCCTGGGTGACAGAGTGAGACTCCATCTCCAAAAACAAAACAAAACGAAACAAACAAACAAAAATCTTAGGTTTATCAGGACATAACACCATCATGAGTCAAGGAGCATCTAAATGTACATGGTAGTTATACAAAAAATAGTTATAGAGTTATATACAATAGTAATATATGAACCAGTTTAATATATGTTAAGTAGAGGTATATGGTAGTTATACAAAAAGTTATATAATTATATAAAATAGTTATATATAAACCAGTTTAATATATGTTAGGTAAAGGTATAATAATATATTATGTATATTATATAATAATGTATAAAATACAAAAGATATCACATATATTTCTATATTAAGTTTATATTTACAGATCTACATATTTATATATTTTATGTTATATATAATTATGTTATACAATATACATGTAATTGTATACATATACAATTATATATATATAATATATACTATAGACATATATAATATAATATATATAATTGTGTTATGTTACTATGGTATTGACTGGCAGAATTGAGCAGTACCAACCCAGAGGGATGCTTTGAGGATGAAATAATGTGATTATGAATACAAAATGCTGGCCCTGCTGCATAGGAAGTATTTAATAAATGGTAGTTGTTACTCTAAAGTCATTCCTACTATAGAGCTACTCACAACCCTGGGACATAGGACACCCTTTCCTTCTAATCACTTAATAGTGGGTGGCCAGGTAGGTGAGTCCTGTCCTGTGGCTGGGAACAGGTGCTGAGACATGAAGACCTTCTGACTGCATGTTGGACCAGCCACAGTTTCAGACAGACCTGCAAAAAAAGGGCATTTTCCCCAAGCCATTTAACTCCCTTGAGTTTCGTAACAAATCTCCTATCCCTGCTGGTCCATAGGATCTAGAAGGGGTGACTTGAACCTCTGATCCCACCATTTGAAAACACCATGCCTCGGCCACCAGCAGAAGGCCACCATTATGCACACCAGTACAAGGGCCACTCCCACGGATTGCAGATTAACCCTAAGTATAGCCGTTGCCCGTCTAGTGCCTTAGGAGGCTTATTTGGGGCTATGCAGAACTGGCATTATTATCCCAGGATCCTACCCCAAGGAAACTAGGAGCTGCCCCTCCTCATAAACCCATAAGTTCTCCTCTTGAGCAAAGCAGGTGGGAAGGCAGAAGTTATTCAAGCTCCCCTCTGCCTCAGTTCCAAAGACAGATTCAGATCAAGCCCACATGCAGCAAACCCTATAAAAGTCTCACCTCAGCCAGGCACAGTGACCCATGCCTGTAATCCCAG